AAGAGGGGGATGGGAAGAAGGGGAAGAACAAAGGGGGAACAGAGGAGGAACACAGGGCAGGAAAGGAGGGGAAAGGGGGAGAAGGGAGGAAGGGGGAAAGGGAGGAGAAAAGAGGGAAAAGGGGGGAAGGGGAGGGAAGGAAAAAGGGAAAAAGGGAAACTGGAAAAAAGGAAAAAAAGGAAAAACTGGAAAAAGGCTACTCCCATTGACAAGTCAGAGGTCCTAAAGGGTAAAACTGCTAAGAGAAAGAAAAAGACTAGATCTAGAGAGCAGCAAACTGCACACCAATGACAGATGGAGAAAATCAATCCACTGTCTGACCAGCATGTGCTGTGGGACTCTCAGGAAGTAAGTTAACTTATTCTTTAATGCCATATACAGTTCCAGTCTAAAAATATACTGCAAAGTCCAAGTTACCTTTCTGCTGTCCTGCAACAGCCACTGAATTCGCTGCTGATAAAGTTCCATGACTCTGCCAAAAGGCACAGCACACATTAGCTAAGGACATACTCTCACCTTAGGCTTCAGTGGAGCAATCAACCATTTGTCTTCAGCACATCCTTTTTCTCACAGATGCAAAATCTGTGAGAAACTGCTATTTAAAAATACAGTTTTCAGTGTCCTTACACAACTGGTGGTTGCAACACTAACCATTTAAATACTTCTGACCCTACAGCTGTTTGGTGGATCAGATCTGCAGGTGTCTGACAAACTGGGTCACTGGAATGTTTGCTAGTTTATTCTGTTCAGAGATAGGAGAGGGATATTCACCACATGATGTGTGAACAACAGAAGCTCAGGCACACCTGAGTTTGGGTCATCACACAGAGGCTATTTTCTGGAGATGTATTTAATGCAAACTACACTATTGCTTCAGACAGTCTTGAAGTAAAACCAGGTGCCAGACTAACTGAAGCACAACTTACAACAATTTACTGACAAAATAGGTATAACCTGAGGCAAAACAAAGTGCTTGCTGTCCTCTAAAATTGTTTTACTTTAATCAACTGATTTTTAATTCCATGCACAATTTGGCCAACAGAAAGGTTAAATCAACATTTCAAAGGGGAAAACCCTTTTTGCTTTTTCAAAACAGAAAAGCTGCTTCTTCTTAGGAAAGCCTGGCACAGTGAGGGATGCTGAAGTGGCAGCACTCCTAGGAATTGTGAGGACCAGCAAAAATATTATGATTACTCTACAGCTTATTGAACCTATTAACTTCCACATGCCACAACCAGATCCATGACTTGAAACTAATCCAAGTTACAGTCAATATACCCCACAAATATGCAGTGTTACCTGTGAAAACCCAACCTGCTGCCTTTCTCAAATGAGCTAATGCTTCAGATCAACACCTGGTTGATAGGCATCAACCATAAAAAATCCCCAAACCTCAGCTGTAGTGACATACAATTATCACCTAACCTAAATCTCAGCAGAGAGGACTTAATGCTGAGATGCCAAATTAAAACATAAGGCAGTGCCTGCAGAAATGAGGATACAGAACCAGTTAGGCCTCAGAATCACAAGCAAGATGGATACTTACTCAGAAAGTCTTGACTCAGAATCAGGAACAGTCTCCTCTGTAAACTCCATCTCTCCAACACCATTTCCTGAATTCCTGGAACACTGTGCGTAATTAACACCAGAGATGCACACAAATTAGTACTGACTAAAGAAGGGGCAGTGTTTTACTTACAAAATAATATTGCCTTCATTTAACAGATGCTCTAATGTTAATTGCAAGGATTCTAAACTGCAGCTCCTTCTCCATTCTTCTGTGGTTTGCACCTTTGGAAACTGGATTTCCTTCACTTGTCCTCTCTAGAGATCAAACAAGAAAAAAAAGGCACGCAGTATGAGAAATGAAATGTGCTGTTCAAATGTGACAAAAGCACAAGTCCTAAGGATAGCTGCTGGTAGGCAGAGCATGTCCAAGAACAACATGATTTTAGGTGCTGGCATACACTTTGGATGTGGGATGTGAAGGAAAAAAAGCCTTCAGAATACCCTCAGACTGAAAACTAAAGGAAAGGGAAGGAGAACTTAGTTTGGAGGACACAGGGAGGAGGATAAGAAACAGGAGAGTTCAGTAAATGAATTAAAAGCAATACCCCAGAGATTTACCAGAGAGGAAGAAAAAGTAAGCACCATTAAACCCTGACTCTAGAGTTTGAAGGGAGATATTTTGTCTTCTGCTTTTCTGAAGAAAAATGTAGTATCAGCAGTTGATCTACATTTCTTGTTTTGCCTGATTTGTTCACAGACACTGAGGAGAAACTACAGGTAGTTTCATGCCTTCAGTGATTACATCTATCAAATTGTGTTTGTGCAAATGTGTGTAAGGAAACATATAACTTTGTGTTTATGCAAATATATGTAAGGAAACCTATTAGTTGCCTATCAGCTTATTTATTTCCCACTCTACTTATAGTGGGTAGATATTAGTATATATTATATATACTAGTTGCTCCATTTAGCAGGAAAAGTCACCTACCAGCAGATCTTGTGCCTTGCTGGTATGTGTTACCAGCAATCCATGATCTGGTCCTGGATGAGAGACAGTGAAATCTTCCCATGGTAGATGACCACCCTGTAGATAGGATTGTGAGTTCACCCTAGAAGACAATTGATTTCATGGGGTTACTTCATTACTCATAATACTCCTGTATTGTCCTAAAGTCTTTACAAGTTTTTTTCTTCAGGAACTGTTTTATACTTTGACCATTGTTTACACACCCCATTTAATACATGATAAATGTTCTGAAGGAACATAGCATGTAGATTATATGAGCTATAGTTATTTATATCTATATATGAAACCCCAACAAGACTTTGTAACAGTTTCCTCACCCAACTTTTTCCAAAAGTTGGTCCAACAACTGTGCAATTTCCCTGACGTTTGTATCCATTACATGAATAGACTTAGCCTTGTGAAAAATAAAGGCAAAAAGGCAATATTGGATGAAAAAAAAAGTTTAAATCCTCTAGAATGAATACTATTAAAAAGGTGTTAATATTGTCAGCAACTTACATGATAATTTACGTTGTATGTGGGACAACAGCAAACTAAGGAAACAAAGAGAAGGTATAATTATGCATTTATGGAGAAGATATTTAGGAGTTACTCTGCAGGAGCGCTAATTAAGGGGGTTTATACAGTTAATAATACGTGTGCACAGGTGCTGGGAGACCAACACACAGCTGAATCAGGAAAAGACGAACAA